CCTGAATCAAAATCGAGAGGGGGTGGGATAATGTAAATATTCCAAAATAAATATTTTCTTTCCATTCATTTACAAGATCATTTATTCCTTTTCCAAGACCTTTAATTTTGGAGTTTAATCAGATGGTAAGTTGTAATTAGTTAATATCTAATAATAATTAGGTTGAAGATGCATGTTTTCTTCAAAGTCCCTAAAAATGCCTGTAATTTTTCTTTAAGTTAATGTATATTTATGTGAGTTGTTCTACATGTACATACGTATATTTATGTTTTTTGCGCATGTGCAATACAGTGTTGTCAGGGACTTAGTCCTGAGACTAAGCGTATTGTTTACGACTAGACTTACGCTACTTCGTGAAACGCTAATTACGCCCGACTAAATTATAGCGTAAGCTACGGAAGTACACCTAAGTTAAGGCTTAAATTTACGACTTTTGATGAAACGGACCCCTGATCTCGAAAAACTACTTAGATATTGTCAATCAGAAACTCAAACATCTTTTTAATATCTACTTCGAAATACTTGTGTATACAATCAAAATGTTTTTAACAAAATAATTTTGCAAATTTCATTTGACCAATGACAAGTTAAGTAAATTAACGAGTTCCATTTTAATTGAAAAAGAAGCTGTCTTTGATGCCAAAAAGCCTGGACTTTCTTGTTCTTTGGATTTTTTAAGTATACACATCTGATTTACATCACTTCTCGAATATATTGTTGCACAGTACTCCTGAAGTTTCTCCTTCACTGCTGTTAAATTATGGTGAGGATTAAAGAAGAGGTTTGGTAGAACATTTACTGGAAACCGCTATGTATCTTTGTTTGTAAGGATGTTTATGAAATTTCGGAAACCAATATAGATATGGTAATTCAAATTCATTTTGGTTGTTGGAAATATTAAAAATATTTAAAAATGACATGATTTTGAAGAATTTTCTTCTTAGAAAGGGAACTATGGGTACAAGTTGGATTGCCACTTGCAGATTTTAAAGGTGCTTGGACACAGATTTGAAGTTAATATTTTCTCAAATTTTCTGTATAATTTCATGACTTATATGTTGCTATAGCATTTCATACTAAAATATAATAAAAATCTTATTTCATCTCGTAGTTATTGAAACTTCAAATTTCTAAACGCGTTTGATTGACACATCCTTGCACTTTCACAAATTTTAATTTTATTCTTAATACCTAAGAAAAGTGGCAATTTTGTTGTGTATATATAAAAAAAATATTAAAACTATAATCCAGAAAATTCAGAGTAGAAATGTTCGAAAGCAAAACCTACTCACAGTATTGTCAGTCCGTGTTCAGTGGTGAGTGCAGACTTTAACAATTGAACACTCCCGGTGAATCGTAAACATTAACAATAACAGAGCTCGTGCCCTATTTACGTTTCACGGGTATATTCAATTTGTTATACTCTGTACACAACACTGAGCACGGGCTGACGATATTAGTGAGAGGGGTTTGCTTTCGCACATTTCTACTCTGAATTTTCTGGATTATAGATGTAATGTTTTTCATTAATACACAACAAAATCGCTTCTTTTCTTAATGTTAAGGATACAGATAAAATTTGTGAAAGTGCAAGGATGTGTTAATCAAACGCGTCCAGGAATTCGTAGTTCCAATAATTTCCAGATAAAATAAGTTTTTAATTATATTTTCGTGTGAAATGCTATTGCAATATATAAGTCGTGATATTATACAGAAAATTTGAGAAAATATTAATTTTAAATCTGTGTCTAAGCACCTTCAATATCAGTTCTTCTAAAATACAATTAAAATAATGAACCTTGCCAACAAAGACAATGTTGTTAAATGTTTTGTCAACTGGATCGAACCAGTGCATACTGATCATGTAGTCTGTCTAATTTTTTTCACTTCTGAATCATTGAAAGCAATAGGATAGATGGTTTTCATATTGCCCTTCAATCGCTTAATGCGAGATTTCAACATTCAATCTGATACTTTTAATCCATTCTGACAAAGTGTCAAGGTCTTCTTTTTCATGTTGGTCCATCACCTGGCGTAATCTTCCACAGAAATATTTTAAGAGTAGAATTGAGTCTTAATGTTATAACTTTTTGGGCCGGAGGGGATAATTTGTTTTCTGTTATAAGGAACTTTAAAAATTAAAATAAACATTATTTTAATTTCAATTTATTTTATTTTTTATTATAAATCATTGAAGCAGTCAACAAGATTGCTGTTCCCCCGTAGCAAGTATGTTCCCCTCGGCTTTGCTTCAGAAAAAAGCTTGCTCTTTGGGAACTGGAATCTTGCTAACTCTTTCTAACTTTAACTGTATAATGTCATTCTACCTGCAGTTTTATCCTAGAAATTAAAATCATTACATCTGCATTTCTTCTTGAGTAGATTTTGACCATCTTAAACAAATCCTCTTAAGTCATCTTGTTCTTTATCTTTTTTCAACCATAGTCCTTCTGAACACATCATCAATGGTGATGTAAATATCGTTGAAAACGATAACCCGACAGCAATTCCAAAACTCAGAGAATACCGATCTTTCAAATGGCGACAGAACGTCAAAAATAAATTCTGTTGAAGAATATGCCAGGCGATGGGCAAAATATGAATGGAAGACCTCGAAAATTGAGAACTATATTAAAGAATCGTTTTAGACAATTGAAAGGCAAAATCCATTATCTATGTAACTGGAACATGTGGAAGTGATACAAAAATTAGAAAGACTACATAATTAAACAACGTGTTATGGTTGAAGCGGACAGATTCTATGATAATGTTTGATTGTAGGGCTTATTATTACAACTGCATTTAAGAATAACGTGGCTTTAATTCCACATCTTGTATCCAACTCACTTATTCTCACAGTTCCCTTACAAAGGAGGAGATTCTTTAAAATCACGTTTCAGTTTAAACTTTCCGGTCAACAGAGATGATTTCAATTAACCGTACTTATACTGCATTCAAAAGCTTCATAGAAATCCTTACAAAGATATATTGTAGGATACAGTGAATGTTCCATGCACTTTACTCCTCACAGAAAATAAACTGCTATATGAAGGAGAAACTTCAGACGTACTGTCATACAAAATACTCCGGAATTAAGTGGTGTCCAATGTGAATTCTCAAAAACTGCAAAGAACCTTTAGAAAAGATTAAAATCAAAATTAGCATCAAAACACATGAATCAGGATAAATTTATATACCAGTTCATCCACATCTATTTCATATTTGGATGTTTCATTAACTATAAACGATAATGGCGAGTAGCAAATATAATATAATATGACAATTCAATGGGACGACTTCATATTTTCCATTGTTAGCTCTTCCTATTTGTATGCAATAATTTTCCAAAATAACTTGCATATAGTGTTATATGTCTCTTAACTGATTCGGTATGCAAGAGTATGACATGTTCCGAGTACGAGCAAGTTTTAAACCAAGGCAGGCTACTGACAAATAACTTGAAGTAACAGAGCTTTCAACAATCTCATTTAACGTCAACATTCGCATGTTCTATGATCGATATCACAGGCACTGTAATCTAAATCAAATGTAAATATTGAGCATGTATAAAATTTAAAAAATAATAATTATGCACATACTCTGACTCAACATTAATAACTTCCAGTGCCTGTGGTCGATATATAATGACAATGTTTGCAAAAAATTGCAAGAAGTATTTTGACTTACATGTTTCATGCAATTCTTAGGCCTTTGATTTTACACTTATTTTGACCACGGATTACTCATTCTACCTGTTTTACAATCTATTAAAAAGAGAACACGGCTGATGTGACTAGTCAACAGGGGATGCTTACCCCTCCTAGGCACCTGATCCTACCTCTGTTGTGTCCAGAAGTTTACGACCCGTTGTGTTTATAGGATTTATAAGATTGATCACTGTTCGTTATCTTCATCTATTTAAAATAAACTTAAAGGTTTAACAAAATGTTTTACCACTTGGATATATGAGGATCTCTTCTCTAAACAAAATCAAATCCCTTTGGTATCCGGTGCTTGTTGAGTGCACCCACGTGTCAGTGAGATGGATGGCCTATTTATTTATTTTTTTTGGGGGGGTGGGTCTTTATTTTCCACGTGCTATATTTAAAGCATTAAAATACAATGTATCATCCCTGCAGTAAACTTAGAAATTGTGTGAACATGTAACTGCTTAGAGTTTCCTGTTTAAAATTCAATGAAATAAATACTTTCTATAACAAGTCGTGTGACAGAGTGACTCAAAAGAAAAAAAAACTGTCTACTATTCAGTTCTTTGACAGTTATTCTTTAATAAGAATTAAAGATTTTCATAGAGCGAATAATATACAAATCCAATTCACACGAAACCCAGATTATACGCCGATTATTATTTTAGGAGTGAGAGAAAATAAAGGGGAGAAGTGGAGAATGTTAATAGATTGAAATAGGAGAAGCAGCGATAAGTAAACATAGGTTATGAATATTATTCTGAACGTAAGCCTATAGAAAATTTTATTGTGTGGGGTATTTGAGCCAAGCGGACATGATTGATTTCTTGCATTGCCTATAATCAGATAATTGGTAAAATTACGTACCTAATCACCTTGATTTTGAACTGTCTTATCCAATATTAAGAATTTGACAAAATCATTAATGGAATTTAGAGTTTTCTTCTGTTTTACTTGAAATTTACTCAAGTTAGGCTTTTACTAATCAAAGTTTTTGTCAGAGACATAAATAACATTTTAATTATGTATACGTAACACATTTTATGAATAATACATGATATGCATGTATAAAAATATCAATGTTGAAAAATTTTTATCGCACAATTATAGCAATTCAGGAGAGAGAGAGAGAGAGAGAGAGAGAGAGAGAGAGAGAGAGAGAGATTTAGCGAATTCAAATCCGAATGATTCATTAATTGAGTTATCTAATGATACCGCTAAGTTACCTCCCCCAATCAGAGCTCTTTAGTATTCCCGCCATTTTTAAACCAGAGAGACACGACAGAACACGACATTCGGACATTAAGAAAACGTGTTTGGGGCAGATATGTAGGGCCATGAGTAAATCGAAAGATGCAAGTGGTTTGTATTTGATCATAATATAACATGATACCTGAAAACATATCACTTAAAAACGACATTCATTGATAATTCTGTTTTAGAAAAGAGTGCGCGTCTTGAGCTTCAGTTTCACACTTGTCTTTTCAGTCGGTGTCCCGTTCCACGTTCAATGAAACAATTTTTTTTTAAAAATCTGAAATGCCATACTGCTTGATTTCATTTAACTAGACGAGAGAAAAATGCCTTTGGTTTGATATAGATGAAAAAGCATTCACCAGGTCCAGGAAAATCACTATATTTAACTATATAGCTTAATTTACCTATATAGCTTTATTTACCTATATAATATAGCTTTATTTAGCTATTTTAGAATAAGTTTCTGTTTTATGAAAAGCAAACAAAAAGTCGCATGAAAATAATAGCTGATATTTTTTTAAAAAGGTTTGATAAAAACAACCTAGGGCATAGATAGTAAAAACATTGCCTCTTTTAAACACTTTTTAACCAAAAAATGCATCTCTATTGTTTGGATAGCTGTCCATTACTGGAAGTGCGATGAGGCATGACTAAGTGTGATTGCCTTGCATTGTGCTGAATTATTACCAATCAATTATCTTGTTGACCAAAACTGCTTTTCTTTGTTAAAGTAGCTGCTTATTCACAGATTAACTGTTATACATAGCCCCAAAACTTTTAGATCTTTGATTGCAATTGCACAAAAGGAGAAACATTTTTAAAAGTGGGTTTTTGGTGAATTGTTTTCAGTCCATTTCAAAGTTGAAAACTAATACTGCCTCATTATGCGACTTTTTGTCTGCTTTTCATAAAACAGACATTTACTCTGAAATAGCTAAATAAAGCTATATTATATAGGTAAATAAAGCTATATAGGTAGATTTAGCTATATAGCTAAATATAGTGATTTTCCTAGACCTGTTCACGTTCAATCAATGTAGTCGGGGGAAAAGCTTCAGTGGTCATGCAAAAGTAAAGGTATCATAATATTGATTGTGAATTAAAGCTAACTGTTCCAGTTATACATGTAAATAGGTCACACTGCAGGATAAGACCAATGCCTGTAAATACTCATTCATAAACAACATATCTGCTTCCATTTTAGCTGTGTATATTTTATGAAAAATAATTGTCATATAGGGAACCTCAAAAACCTTTGGTTTACCTGAAACAGTCTAGACGAACTCCAAAAATAGCGTTTCCAGAAGTAAGAAATTGAGACTGAAAAAGACTCCGAAAATAGAGTCCGCGCATGCGCTCACACACGAAAAATGGCGATTTTTCGGCAAAAATAATGGGTCTACAAAAACTGTCCGTGCAAAGTTTTGGAAAGTATGGCAATTATGCCAGTACTCAGAATTGATAAATAAAAGACTTCACCGGAGATTGTATTTGTCAGATTTTTTATTTTATTTGCAAAAAAAGAAATATTTACTTTCAAAGTTGACGTTTGAAGTCAGATCAATTACAGAGAAAATGATACGTTTGAGAAGTAAATATGCATAATAAAAGGGATATATATGCAAAATGGGACAATATATATTGTAACTGTTAAAAAACTTGACTGAATTTTACACATAAATTAGCATTCCAGTTTTTTATTTGTGTACGACATTTGAATTGAATGCATAAGTTCTTACCATCGTTATTTACCGATTTTTTATCGCATACGAACCGATATTATTATGAAAACATTTTTAAAACTATTATCTATCAATATGAAAACTTTAAAAACCACTCTTCCAGAAATTAAGGTCACGACATGTCTTCTAAAAATGAACCTGTGAATATCTCTGCTCCGTGGTGAAAAATACGCATTTTCTGATTAAAATAAATACAAGCTGGATGTTTTCAAAAACAAATAAAAGCACCTCTATTGTAGGAACAACATAAAATTTAAATCCACAAAATAAAGTCACAGTGCACTAAATACAGCCATTATTCAGCCATATATTTGGTGAAAGCGAATGACAATCCATCGTTTGTTTACATCGGACGCCACATTGCCACGATGCATGATGGAGCCAAAGACTTCGTTTTCGGAGTTCACGTCATTTTTGGAGTTCGTCTAGACTGTAAAAAGTGCTTCATAAAAGTGTTAAAACTTGTACCTAGATCTAAATTTCTTTAGGACAATGAGTTGCCAGAAGTGTATAAGAATTGGTAAAAAATTACAATCTGATTATCCAATTGAATTTAAACATCTTTTTGATTCATTGTTAAAAAAAAATAACTGAAGATTATATCAATAATTAAGCCTTTAGTGATTTCATTCAAAAAAAAAAAAAAAATAAATCTAACATTGGTGTCTACTATTGTAACAGCTGTATGTTCTAGTTTAAAATCACAAACAACTCTATTTTCTTTCAGCATTAATTTTTAAATAAATGAAGCATCTTAGATTTAAGCATTTATTGAAAGCAAAAGATGGTTAAATGCTTCCAAACTATAGACCCTGTTTCCCTGGTTAAAGCTGGTTTTGTAGATCTAGGTCACTGTTTTGTCAGGCATTTTTATGTATGAAATTGAGAGTTGTCCTTTCCTGAAATGAAAAAAAGTGCACAAAAGTATTTGTATACTGCAAATTAAAATTTTGACAAGATTTATGACTATCTGTGTCAATACTGATTATCAGTATTTGTAGAACTCATCCAATGATTTTTGGATGGTTGGCAACTATCACTAAATCACTACTTCGGCAGTCCAATTCACTGTTTTTAACCTCGTTATCACAAATCCTTCAAAATTTCCAAGTTAATCTTAGTCCTGTCAAGATTGGGATAACAAAGTTTGACTGTGTTTTGTAAACATGGTAAACAGTTTTCTTAGTTTATTTTTCATTCACTTGGCTCAAAATCTGTGTCATTTAAATTTTAAACATGACAACAACAAAAAATTTTTTTTATTGAATTGATTGAAGTTTTCTTTACTAAATTAAATTTCAAAACTTGTCTTTGATACTGATGTCTGAAAGAAGTCTTTCAAAATTTTAGGGGTAGGATGGTCTTTGGTATTTTTGGAAAAAATATCTTGATAAAAAATCTAAAGTTTTGAAACCCAAAGTCCAGCTTGAAAAAGAATTGATGTTGTGAGTGTTCAATTCTTGTCAAATTTATGATAATACCTGAGTTTTTTTTTTTTTTCAAATTTAGCTGCCAGATCAGTACTTGAGTACCTGAATAGACAGAACAGGCCGTACAGTGCTGTGGACATCTTCAATAATCTACACAAGGAGTATGGCAAGACGGTTTGTCTTTATGCCTTTGCATTTGCTTCCATCTCTGTAACTTAGTATAATTAGGCTACTTTGTAAATAAGACGTAATAAAAAAATATGTTTGTTTACGGTTACCCCACCGGCCCTATATTTAATCGCGCACCCTAATTTTTTTTCATCTGAAAAAATCCGGAAGTCACTCGCTGGGCAGTTTAACTTTTACATGCATCTTAAATTGTCAAGTGTTTGAAATCGAAAGTACTAGAAACAAAATGGCATGTTTAATATCTACATTAACGTGTTCGTGTCTATTGCCCATATGGCAAGCCCAAACAAAAGTAAAGCACCACACAATGGTAAAACTGTTTTGTATTTCAACCAATTCCTGTGAAATTGTGTATAAAAAAAAATCCTACCTACCGACCCTATTTTATTTCAGAATGCAACTAAAACAAGCATATTATTTTATTAAGACTAAGAGAAATTTTACTTTGTTAGTGTGTTTGTAACAGTTTAATACTTACATCAGTGATTCATTTTGGTGTGCGTCCTGCGTAAATTACGCACAAATTTTGCTCAGGACGCATTATTTCAATAAACGTGCATCCCAATGGACGCAATAAATTTATAGAAGGACATGTACTATTTTAAATTATTTCGGTATAATCTGATTCAAAACTTGACTGATTGCATCATATCCACGTGCTAAGCGATATGCATGAACGATTTTAACAGGTATAAGGTTGCCAACAACAGGTCAGATTTCACAACTGCAGTTAAAAGCAATTATCAGAAAATATTTGAAAGTTAGATGGCATAGTTCAATTATCACTGATTATGTCTATACCATGGAACGTTTCTGAAGCGAATACTATACCTTTGCATTTAAGCTGTAACCTGTATCATTGTTTTTTTTTCTTTTCGTTTTTTCCCCTACAAGCTAAGAAGTATAAAATTCAATCATTTTTATTTGACCATTTGTTATTTCTTCTTAAATTCTTTTTTACTTCATTCTGCTTCTGTGCATTTTATGACTGATACAATGTGTGAGATATCGTATGTGCGATCTAAAAATAGATCAAAGTGCACAGTGGAGAATATATTATTTTTATGACACAAAATCATGTACTCTTACTTGGACAATTACTAGTAAAAGTATAAATCACTCACAACTACAATAAAACATTTGCACTTCTCGCAATACCTTTTTTTATTTCACCAGAATTTCCTCTGTGATATCTAATATACGGTACCCTTGGATTTGGACGCATTAATTTTGGCATGGGACTCATTTTTGTCATTAAGAGGGGTCCTTTGGACCCATGATAACCATTTTCAAAATGAATCACTGCTTACATGTCATATCTAAATGCTGCATGTAGCTAACTCTTATCTGAAGTAATTAGTACCAGTACACTGATAAGAATTTGGGATCCAAATTGAAACATGTATTAATAATACATCATCATACCATAGAATGTTTGAATTGGATGCTCATATGTGTTTAGGTTTGTCAAAATGTCAGGTATTCTTGATGTCTTCATCAAACACATGCTAGAATCTCAAAACTTAATTTTTAGCTCTACTGGTCAGAGACCAGAAGAGCTTATGCGATAGTAAGGTGTCCATCGTCCGTCCGTCTGTCTGTAAACAATTTTTCAAAACGCTACTCCTCCTACAGTTTTGGTCTGATTTCAATGTAACTTTGCATACAAGAAGACTACACTAAGATACATAATTTAGTGCATCGCCTTTTGATATCAATGACAGTGTTGCCATGGTTACTTAAAATAGAAATTTCTGTGAAATTCCTTTAAAACGCTACTCCTCCTACAGTTTTGGTCTGATTTCAATATAACTTGGCACACAAGTAGTCTATACTAAAATACATAATTTAGTGCATCGGTTTTTGATTTCTATGAACGGTGTTGCCATGGATACTAAAAATAGAAATTTCTGTGAAATTCCTTTAAAACACTACTCCTCCTACAGTTTTGGTCTGATTTCAATATAACTTGGCACATAAGTAGACTACACTAAGATACATAATTTAGTGCATCAGTTTTTGATTTCGATGAATGGTGTTGTCATGGTTACTAAAAATAGAAATTTCTTTGAAATTTCTTTAAATGGCTACTTCTCCTTCAGTTTTAGTCTGATTTCAATATAACTTGGCGCACATGTAGACTACATTAAGATACATTATTCTATTTATTGCTGCATGTTGCAAAGTTTCAAATCCAAGTGCTACTATGTACAGCCCAGTAGAGCTACAGTCTCATCAGAGACTTCTGGTTCATTAATGGTTTTGTGTTAAATTTTAGTGACAGTTTGATTTCTATGAAGTGTACAATTGTTTAAATGATATATGTTAGACATCTTGTTTTTTTTCCCTACAGGCAGTAGTGAAGGCATGTGAAAGTTTAACAGAGGGAGGTAAAATCAAAGAGAAAGTTTATGGAAAGCAGAAGGTGTATGTCGCAGATCAGGTAAAAAAAAAAGAAAGAAATATAAGTTTCAGAATTTTCAGCAAAGGTGTTCGAATAAACAATCAGGGGCATGATGGAATCAAGTTATTTTTTAAAATAACTTTTTAGCTCACCTGAGCCGAAGGCTCAAGTGAGCTTTTCTGATCACATTTTGTCTGTAGTCCGTCTGTCCGTCTGTCCGTCCGTCTGTCTGTAAACTTTTCGCATTTTCGACTTCTTCTCAAGAACCACTGGGCCAATTTCAACCAAACTTGCCACAAAGTATCCTTGGGTGGAGGGGATTCAAGTTTGTTCAAGTGAAGGGCCACGCCCTCTTTCAAGGGGAGATAATAAAGAATTAGTGAAAAATTAATAGCATCTTTTAAAAATCTTCTTCTCAAGAACCACAAAGCCAGGGAAGATGAAACTCATGTGGAAGCATCCTCAGGTAGTGTAGATTCAAGTTTGTTCAAATCATGACCCCCGGAGGTAGGGCGGGGCCACAATGGAGGATCAAAGTTTTACATAGAAATATATGGGGAAAAACCTTTAAAAATCTTCTTCTCAAGAACAGCAAAGCCATGATGAGTCATATTTATATGGAAGCATCCTCAGGTAGTGTAGATTCAAGTTTTTTCAAATCATGACCCCCGGGGGTAGGGCGGGGCCACAATGGAGGATCAAAGTTTTACATAGAAATATATGGGAAAAACCTTTAAAAATCTTCTTCTCAAGAACAGCAAAGCCATGATGAGTCATATTTAAATGGAAGCATCCTCAGGTAGTGTAAATTCAAGTTTGTTCAAATCATGACCCCCGGGGGTAGGGCGGTGCCACAATGGAGGATCAACGTTTTACATAGAAATATATAGGAAAAACCTTTAAAAATCTTCTCCTCAAGAACAGCAAACCCATGATGAGTCATATTTATATGGAAGCATCCTCAGGTAGTGTAAATTCAAGTTTTTTCAAATCATGACCCCCGGGGGTAGGGCAGGGCTACAATTGAGGATCAAAGTTTTACATAGAAATATATGGGAAAAATCTTTAAAAATCTTCTCCTCAAGAACAGCAAAGCCATGATGAGTCATATTTATATGGAAGCATCCTCAGGTAGTGTAGATTTAAGTATGTCCAAATCATGACCCCTGGGGGTAGGGTGGGGCCCCAAAGGAGGATAAAAGTTTAACATAGAGATATATAGGAAAAATCTTTAAAAATCTTCTTCTCAAGAACAGCAAAGCCCTGATTGATCATATTTATGTGGAAGTATACTCAGGTAGTGTAGATTCAAGTTTGTTCAAATGTTGCCCCCCTGGGGTTGGGTGGGGCCACAATGGAGGATCAAAGTCTGAAATAGAAATATACAGGAAGATTTCTTCTGATGAAGAACTGCAAAGCCATGATTAGTCATTTTGATATGGAAGCATCATCAGGTAGTGTAAATTCAATTTTGTTCAAATGATGACCCCCGAGGGTAGGGTGGGGCCCAATAGGGGGATAGAAAATTTTACATAAGAACACATAGAAAAAATATTTCTTCTCAAGAACAAAAAAGCTGCGTTTAGTCATATTGATATGGAAGCATCTTCAGGTAGTGTAGATTCAAGTTTGTTCAAATGATGACCCCCGAGAGTAGGACAGGGCCACAATGGAGGATCGAATGTAACATAAGAACATATAGAAGAAATATATCTTCTCAAGAACAGAAAAGCTATGTTTAGTCATATTGATATGGAAGCATCCTCAGTTAGTGTAGATTCAAGTTTGTTCAAATCATGACCCCTGGGGGTAGGGCGGGGCCCCAAAGGAGGATCAAAGTTTTACATAGAAATATATGGGAAAAATCTTTAAAAATCTTCTTCTCAAGAACAGCAAAGCCATGATTGGTCATATTTATATGGAAGCATCCTCAGGTAGTGTAGATTCAAGTTTGTTCAAATCATGACCCCCGGGGGTAGGACGGGGCCCCAAAGGAGGATCAAAGTTTTACATAGAAATATATAGGAAAAATCTTTAAAAATCTTCTTCTTAATAACAGCAAAGCCCTAATTGATCATATTGATATGGAAGCATCCTAAGGTAGTATAGATTTAAGTATGTCCAAATCATGACCCCTGGGGGTAGGGTGGGGCCCCAAAGGAGGATAAAAGTTTAACATAGAGATATATAGGAAAAATCTTTAAAAATCTTCTTCTCAAGAACAGCAAAGCCCTGATTGATCATATTTATGTGGAAGTATACTCAGGTAGTGTAGATTCAAGTTTGTTCAAATGTTGCCCCCCTGGGGTTGGGTGGGGCCACAATGGAGGATCAAAGTCTGAAATAGAAATATATAGGAAGATTTCTTCTGATGAAGAACTGCAAAGCCATGATTAGTCATTTTGATATGGAAGCATCATCAGGTAGTGTAAATTCAATTTTGTTCAAATGATGACCCCCGAGGGTAGGGTGGGGCCCAATAGGGGGATAGAAAATTTTACATAAGAACACATAGAAAAAATATTTCTTCTCAAGAACAGAAAAGCTATGTTTAGTCATATTGATATGGAAGCATCTTCAGGTAGTGTAGATTCAAGTTTGTTCAAATGATGACCCCTGAGAGTAGGACGGGGCCACAATGGAGGATCGAATGTAACATAAGAACATATAGAAAAAATATTTCTTCTCAAGAACAGAAAAGCTATGTTTAGTCATATTGATATGGAAGCATCCTCAGGTAGTGTAGATTCCAGTTTGTTCAAATGATGACCCCTGGGATAGGGAGGAGCCACAAGGGGGGATCAAATTTTTACAAAGGAATATATCCTAAAATTTTTTTAAAATCTTCTCAAGTACAACAAAGCTATTTGTTATTTTGACATGGAAGCATCATCAGGTAGTTTAAAATTCAAGCCCCCCCCCCCCCCCCCCCCCCCCCGGAATCTTTTCAATACTGAACTGATTTGTGCTTTTGCCTATCCACTGTGCTCAGGTGAGCGATGTGGCCCATGGGCCTCTTGTTTAGGTTACTTCACTTATTTATTACTAAACAAAGAAATAACTCATTTGAGTTAATTCTTTAAACGTAGAATGCCTATCGATTTTGCCAAAAAACATCAATATTTTGAGTTTGCTGCTTATTTAAGATGATGTAAGGCTGAGTAAGTTGTAAATATATGTACTTCTTTGAATAGACTCAATAGACTTCATATCTCCTGAGCAGATATGATGATATTTATCAAAATATCATGATATTTTTCAGGGAAAAATAATTCCATTTCATGAACATTTCAGAGGTCAATTACACAACTTCCGCCAATTTTGCCAACAGTGAGACTAATTTTCCTAAAATACTTGGATATCACTGTACAATCTCTATGTCTTACATTTTTTGTGCAAAGCTGTAGATTTTTGTGCAAGAGTTTTAAAGTGAGGTTGGTTAAGGTTGAAATAACTGATATAAGTTATGATTTGTTGAATTCCAACTTGTTAAATCTTAAAGATAGATTACTTTTACTGTCATGAACCTTTTCCATCTACTTAATAACCCAAGTACAGCATGAATAAAGCTTTTCAGATACCAGCAGGTTTAAAATAATGAATAGTAAAGTATCAATAACTGGAATAAGTTACTGAAGAAAAGCATAATCAGGGAAAGATAACCCAAAATAATGACATTTAATAACTTAAACAAATTATTTTAAAAATAACTTGTTTTCATGATGCCCTTGACTGATAAACACAGAATATGCTAGACATTCTATCATCTCAGTGAAGCTAGCACTGAGAGCAAACCTTGTACAATATTAAATATTTACATGAAGGCAGGTTTGTTCACCATTAGCCAAGTAGCTCGGTAGAGACAAGTGTTCAGGGGCTTGGGTTTCAAAGGCTAGTCTGTAAACATTTTCTGTTCCATGTGATGTTGTAATGCTTTGAAAGGAATAGGTTAAACATCTGGCAGGAATGAATTATGGGTTTGTGTCTTTGAGGATAAATACACCTAAGGAAGGGGGGGGGATATGGCTACTTGTATTATGCTGTTGGGGAGATAGCTTTATATAGAAAATGGTTATCATGGGTCCAAAGGACACCTCTTACTGACAACAATGAGTCCCATGCCAAAACCAACGCGTCCAAATCCAAGGGTTCTCAATGGTACCGTATATTAGATACTGCAGAGGAAATTCTGGTGAAATAGAAAAGGGTTTTGTACGAAAGTGTAGTTGTTTTATTGAAGCTGTGAGTGGTTTATACTATAATTACTATCAATTGGAAGTAAGAATAAACAATTTTTGTGGCATGTAAATAATATATTGTCAACTGTGCACCTTGGTTCTATTTTTAGATCGTACATACGATTTCACACATAATTTGTATCTGTCATAAAATGCACAGAAGCAGACCAGTTGCTCTATTGAATGAAGTAAAGAAATTTTTTTTCAAAAAATTGCCTGAAAGAAGAATGACCAAATACTTACTAGCTTCTAAGGAAAAGAATTAAAATAATTCAGGTTACAGTTAAAATACAATTGTATACATAATTAGTTTACAATTCAGAAATGTTCCACAGCAGACAAAATTGAACTTTTTTTTCTGATAATTGTTTCATTGTTAAATGCAATATAACAGTGAAGTGTTAAATCTGACCTTTTGTTGGCAACCTTATACCTGTTAAAATCGCTCATGCATATCAAAATAATACCTTTCATTTTATAAATTAAATGCATCCGTTGGGATGCACGTTGATTGAAATAATGCGTCCTGAGCAAAATTCATGCGTAATTTACTCAGGACGCACCCCAAAATGACTCACTGAGAATACTTTCTAGAGTTCAGGGAACGAGGGCTTAAATCCTGATTTGGACTAGTCCTTCACATTTTTTCCCTTCCTGTTGCATATGTATTCAAGTCATCCTTAAAAAAATTGTCAGATTTTTAATAAATTGAAGGGATGTCGTAGTGTTTCAGTATAGAAGATTTTTTAAAATTATTTATTTTTGATAAATTATTATAAATAGAATGAATTTTTAAAATTCAGATCATCATAAAATAATCATAAATGCATAGTCTAATACAAATGTTAAAATTTTCCAGGGCCAATTCCCTGATGTGGATGATAATGAAATTCGAGACATGGACACGAGAATTGGTGAATTGTCCACACAGAACCAGGAAATGGACGTCCAAGTAAAACGACTGGATGCAGGTAAGGTTAAATTCCTCAGATTTAATGCTTGAAAATAATGGAAAAAACTGAAGTTTTAATCCAGTGTATAGCTTAAAGAAAAAAATGATGGGTTGGACAATATTTGGAAAGTTCTTAAGATTTTTTTTAATGCACAATTTGACGTCTCGTCAGACAGAAGGAGAAAGAATCTTTCTGAGACTGGTCTACTTGCCACAATGTGTTTTGTTACTTTGCCTAAAAATAACTTTTTAAGTGTAATTATTGTTGCTCAGTATTAAAAGAAACCATAAATGTAAGGTAAAATTAATTTTCTTAATTTATTTCTCAGAACTCAGAGGACTAAACAGCTCTGTATCCACAGAAGAGGCAGTTCTACAACTGAAACGGTTAACTGACGAGGTTTGTAGATAACACTTGCCTTCTCCATTGGTATACAAAAGGTAAACACGTTAAAACGAAAATGGAAACTGCACAAGGAGACAGTGTATTGTTGCATTGGCCAATTATACAAGCATTAATCATGGTCTTCTCTTTATTCCTTTAAACTTTAATGCAAAGTCAGAAATATTTAGGATAAACCACTGACTTGACTGAGAGATTCGATTTATTTTAAAGTATTTTAATGTCAGAAGCAAATTATTTTATTTATACTTTTTCAGTGTGAAGCCTGTAAAGGGAAGCTGAAGACTTTAAAAGAGGGTGGGAAAACTGTGTCACCAGAAGAGAAAGATAGGGTAAAATATTACTGTGATTTTTGTTCCAGTAAGCGTGAAAACACACACTTTAAAAGTGAAGACATGACTCATCTTTTGTAATGGGAAGAGGGAAATTGCTTCACCACTTTAAAGTTACATATCTAAACCCCTTTTTTCTGTCCCCCAATGTTAAGATTTGGAAGTTCTTATTATCAACAGAGGCTGGTGTGCCAAGAAGGGGCTGGTATTTTGGTTTGGTGTAATCTATTTACATAAAGCATATTTAAAATATTGCAAAGGATGAAATTTGAAAAAAAATATTGAAAGGCTGCATGCTTATATGTTGGCAACTAGGTAGACATAGAAGCATTTGCTGCAAATGATTTAGGGAGAGGGGAAGGTCCTCGTGAAATCAAGTATGGTATTTTCATTTCATAGATTTACACAGCAAGAACAAAGTACGTCAAAGAATGGAGGAAAAGAAAAAGAATTGTAAGTGTATGATGTATTGTTTGATACAGGAAATTTATTTTGAAAGCAGTGGGTTACTTGACAATTTAGATTAAAAATATAATTATTATGTATTTTCAGAGTAATGATATTCTAGGGGCAATATTAGAAGGCTATCCAAAGACAAAGAAACAGCTATATGTAAGTCTTAGAAATGATATATATAAGTAGTGTCTCCAGTGTGTGTGTATTAGGTTTATTAAACATTCTATTGTATTCACCAAATTTAAGAATTTTTTAGCACATAACTAGATGTGGTCAAATAAATGTATTTTTAATAGCTCATTCAAAATTTATCTTGAGAGAAGTGTGTCGTTGAAGAGGTTCAATGCTCCCCTAAGGTTGGAATGGGTGAAATACAGTGAAGTGGTTTTGTGTAGTAGACCTCCCTATGGTTGGAAAAGGTGAAATGCATGGTTTTGATTTTGTGTAGTGGACCTCCCTAAAGGCTTGAATAGGTGAAATTCAGTGAAGTGGTTTTGTATATTTAACCTTCATTTGACTGGCATGGATGAAATGCACTGTAGCTGTCTTGTGTTTTGGACCTTTTTAAGGTTTGAATGGGTGAAATGCAGTGAAGTGATTTTGTATATTGGCCCTCAAAGGCTGTAATAAGAGGCTTTTTTAAGGTTTGAATGGGTGAAATACAATGAAGTGATTTTTAAGCGCTAAGCGCAGTGCAAAGTGCTTACTGTCATCTTAATACTACTTCCATTCACGATCCAGCGCCACTTAGCAAGTAAGATAACTCCACCGAGTCTTCTAAAAATATGCAACTGGAAATCCCCAACTCGCTTTCGGCTATTTTAGAGTAATACTGTGTTACGCACATGTCTAATAATAGGTGTCAATAAGTGAGGTAGATAGTATACATTGTACGAAAATCTGCTGTTAGTGGATAAAGGCGGTTCTTCTCTCTATACACTGTAGTTCATTAAAAAATTATGTCGGCACTGTGTAACATGTAGCTAACAATTGCTGCAGTGATAATACATGTATCGAAGAAGTATTAAAAAAAACCATCAATGGTGCAAATACTTTAAAAACGGTTTATTATATGTCATGTATATAGTGATTGTTTAAAACTTGTATGGGATTTTAATAAGTATTTAAAACTCAAACTGGAAATAAGTTATTTAATAGAAAATTTCGCATAAAATTGATATACAATGTTCTTATGATCTATATAATTTATATCCATATTAACTAACTTTTTTTTTCTTCTAGACCCTTATTTCAGACAATGTAACTAAAAACAAGTCTTTCTATTATCACCCTTGCACCATGCAGAGAGCTATCAATGATGTTGATTTTCGCATCTCGGTATCAATTATGAACAAATGCATTCATGTACTGTCTATATTCGTGTAATATAGCCTTGTTTCGCAAGGAAAGGCAGTTTACGACTGTACGTACATGTAGGACACGTAGTGGCTGAATCCACTTCGAGACGAAAACTAATTTCTCGGAAATATTGATGACAAATATGGTGCTTTGTGTGTGCTGTGTGCAAGATATGTCGAAAATGTAAAACCTTACTTAAACGTTCTCAGTAACGGGACAGGTATGTTTGAGTTGCCGATTTGTCTGCTTAGCAACTTTATGAGCACTAAATAAAAACAGAATGAAACAGTGTTGTATATCTTCATGAAAATCAGAAAATAGGGTTTCATATTTGTTCATACTTGAGATTAATATACTATCTTTTCTTTTTTGGGTTGTTGAATTATTTATCATGGAACTAGCACAAAAATTACTGGTCAATTATTTTCAGGATTTCTTTTCAAGGAACACACCGGTGCTGTGGATATTTTATTTTATTCCTATCAGCATGTTTTGTGTTGAGTGGTAGTTGATATCATACCTAAACAAGTTAAGATTAAGCTAAAGCATCAAATGTCCGTAAAAAAAAAAATACCGATTCATTTTAAAGTATTTTAACAAGAAAGAGTTAAAAAAAATGAGTTTTTAATGACATATTTTTATTCCGAAGAAAAAAGTATAAAATTTTTATTTAAAAATGTGATATTTACAAATCATCTACATATATTGTGAGATCAACAGAAAAGACTAATTTTCGACGCAAATACGTTATTAATCATGTATATGAAAGTCAAAGATTAAAGAATAGCACTGAATGTTTTTTCATCAAACGAAGAAGACAAATATAATATACTCAAATTGTATATATACCTATTATCTTTGACAAAACTACGAAAACTCTTCAGGTGCTAATTTCCTAGATTTTGTCACATGTTGATGCCGATATGTTGCACAGCGCAATGAATGTGAAGTGTTAAAAATGTGTAAGGCACAGCTGTAGCATATTCAAAACAAAATGTAATAGTCTAAGTCTTATTTATCATTAATTAATACCGGCGATTGTGTAAATAACTTACACACTCCATTGAATGTACTTCTTGTAAAGTCCTTTCTATGAAATCGCAAATTTATAAATCGCTTATGAATATGAGAATAAATTGAGATATGATTAAAAAAAAAAACCAATTCAGACTGAATATTATTTTTCGTTATTTTAAAGATCTTTTATTCATAACTTTAATAAATGTTATCAATAAGGATTTTTTTTATCGATATCCAGTATTGTATGCAATAAGAAATAACATCTACATTTTCTAACAAATAAAATGACAGTCGCCAACCATAGGCGCTTGGTTTCAGTTCAAATCGGCACACGATTGAAGGGCGTCATTCAATCATTTTTGAAGCTAGATCTCATCCGACAACGGAAGGAAAAGTGTAGATATTAAAATCAAGTGTGAACCGAGACACCCCCTGAAATTTAAGGTGGCAACTGTCGTACCTTGGTTCTTTTTTATATACAGTTATATGATATTTTTGTAACGTGCTAATTTCAGCGATCTTCGATTTTTATTTTAATGAGTGTATTCAGACACACCTAGAAAAACACATAATAAACAAAATACACCATCCATGCACCTGAAACCAAGCGCCTATGTCACCAACAGCAAATCTTCATTTTGAAACACTCGTGAACACGAAATGAATTTATTATTAAAAATTATCACAGTGCTGTAGTGTTTCAGTCTAATAAACTGAAACTGAAAGCAACGGATGTGACGATTTCTAATAACGTAAAATGTAGAGGCGCCTCGGAATTACACGAAAAGCCTAGAGAGGTCAGATTTGTTCTATCTGCATAGATTTAATGATGTTAAAGAAAAAGAAAACTAGAAGCGAGTGCTGCTCATAACGGCAAACTAGCTCTTAAAGGAACGCCGAGACAAAGAGTAAAATTCGGACTGTGCACATTGCTCCAAAATGAACTTTTTTCTATAATAATTCCGGAATTGCAATTTAACACAAATAGACAGTTTTTCCATAACTGTGGTATTGCTCTTTCTTGCCATAAATAAATTAAACTTCAAAAACAAAAAAAAAAGTAACTGAGTTGCTTTAATCGAATTTGCTGAGAGATAGTAAATTTGACGCTCAGGCAAAAAACTGTGTGAATTTTATCTTGACTTTTTAAATATATATTCATTTTTTGGCAAATTCTGTTGAGTGAACATGTAAAATTTGTTCCAAAAATATTAATTGACACCTGCATTTCAAAGTCCTAGCGTATGATAACGGGGAAAATGCTCTTGAGTAAAAATATGTAGGGCTAACATTCCAAGATATTAGATTTTGTAGATTTGTAGAACTTTCTATTAAATATCTTTCCACCACAAGAAACAGTCCCCCATAAATCTTGTTCTTTATGATTTTATGGCCAGTTTTTAAATTGAATGTTTTATAATTTGTATAAATCAAATATGTTATAGAAAATGAAATTGTAATAAATAGTTTTGAAGTGAGAGGTTATTACTGAACTTTTCTTAAAAGCTAATGAGTGACATACCTTAAATAGCAACGCATATACGACGTCATGGGATGTCACAGTCTCGAATCTTCAAATATATCCTCGTGCGGTTTAAATAATTGTGTATCAAACAACTGTGCTAGCCCCTAGCGTTTGCACTGTCAACATATTACTTATTCCAATACAATAGGCAATTTAAATTCAAAATAATTCTGATGAATGTCAAATTGTAAACATTGCTTAGTGCTTTCCAGTACTTTCAGTACTTTGATTGTGTATTGGAACTCCAAGGCTGTAATAAGAGGCTTTGAGTATTGGACTTCCCTTAGGCTGGTATGGATGGAATGCAGTGTAGTTATTTTGTGTATTGGACCTCTAAGGCTGTAATGAGAGGCTTTGTGTATTGGACCTCCCTTAGACTGGTATGGGTGGAATGCAGTGTAGTTATTTAGTGTATTGCACCTGTCCCGGCCTGTGGGTGGTTCTAAAGTCATCCTCAGGTGTACAGTATAGTATTTTCAATGAAACTGTGGATGCTCAACAGTTATCACTTTGTATGTCTGTTTTTAGCTCTACTGGTCAGCTGAGACCAGAAGAGCTTATGCGATAAAAAGGTGTTCGTTTGTCTGTCTGTAAGCAATTTTTTAAAATGCTACTCCTACAGTTTTGGTTTCATTTCAGTATGACTTTGCACACAAGTTGATTACACTGAGATACATGATTTTGTGTCTTGGTGTTTAATGAATGATGTTCCCATGGTTAATAAAATTGAAGTTTCTGTAAAATTCTTTTAAAAGGCTCCTCCTCCTACAGTTTTAGTCTGATTGCAATAAATCTTGCCACAAAAAGAGACTAAACCAAGGATCATTATTCTATTTATTGCTGTTGCAAAGTTTAAAGTCCAAGTGCTACTTTTTCTTTTCCTTTGTTATAATTTCAAATCAGTAGAGCTGCAGTCTCTTAGAGACTCCTGGTTTTTTTCATACACAGTAATACTTAAAAAAAAGTGTTTGATGAGATGAATGTTATTTGGGTGAGTATCAAGTTTGTTCCAGATGTTACATAACCCATTTAAGATTGGTGACCATGCTTTTGTGTGTGTGTGTGTGTGGGGGGGGGGGGGGGGGGGGGGTTGAACACTTGAGTAGAAGTGCAAATGAGCTTACTTGATCATTGTATTTGCTTATGTAGGAGGAGGTTGGGCTAGAGACAGATGAAGACTATGGCACATCACCCCCAGACATCTGAGGTTTAAAGGAAGTCCAAACAGGAGGTCATCTGTTAAGATGCTGTGAACTCTACTATGACCGTATGTGACCGCGCAGTCATGTATGTTCACAGTTAATATCCTTTGTTGCAGTGAACAGAACCATGTACGCTTCTATAGATAAAAAAGTGAAAATTCTTTGAAAGATGAATAATGAGAACTACAATAAGGGAGCACCTGTTTTTCACAGACTGTATTCAGGAAGACAGTGCATTAATGAAATATGTGTTCATGTTTTTTTTTTTATTATATTTTTTATACTTTTTTGTTTTGTTGCATCAATGAAATAAAACATGTTTTTTTATATTTGCAGTTTTTCTCATTATTTAGGGGATATTTTTTTCAGTGCATTACTTGGTGTGCGCAATGATTTCTCATCTGTGCAGTAAGATATTACAATTTTTAAATTTTTATCTCGTCTGAGTCAAAGAGCTAATACTATGGCAATTTGTGCAGTATGTATGTAAATCTTTTGGAGTAAATGCCTTAAGAACCTTTGTACAATTTTTATCAATTTTGTCATGGGGGCATCTTTGAGCCAAGGACTTTAATTGGAATGTGATCCTTAAACAAAGGGCGATAATTAGGGAAATAAAAGAAAATAAGAAATGGTTGCTAAGAAATCTTTTAAAGATTGAAGACTGGTCAGATTTTGACCAAAGTTGTAAATACATATTGATAAGTAATATACAAAAAGCGTACATTGCAACCATTAGAAGATCATTATGAGAAGAGCATTAGACTTGTATATGTAATTATATTGAGTCCATGATGAGTCTTCGAACATTGATGAAACGGGGGCTTATAGGTACATAGCGTATCGTTTTAATATTTTACATGGCCGCAGGAGTTGAGGTTTGGAGACCTCGCATAATACTACTAGCTGATTCTCGAGATCAGAATCTGCTAGATCGTTTTCGAAAGTTTTTTTTGTGTGTATTGATTAGAAGACTCATTCGCCTTGTACTCATCTTAATGAATAATATCTTAATATGTTCATTCATTTCATTTTTATTTCTGTTGTGTATTCCTTGAGATTGTTCATTTTGGATACACAAGTGCTCTATCTCTGTAAGAAGGGAATTGACTTATGTCCGGAGGACGATTTTCCAGCGGTTTCCCTACACGATGGGTCCTTTCGGTTTTCTTGGGAGGAATGGACTGATTTTCCGGTGTAACGTAGAATTTGTTACACCGGTGCTAGAATTAGCTTGTTTATAATATTTAGGGCAACATCATCTGTATTCTCGTCTTTATTTTCTATGACACATGTGATCTTTAAACAATTACGACGAGAATATTGCTATAAATCATCCATTTGCCACTCCTGTGTTAATACCCCCCCCCCCGGTACTATTACCTGTGAAATCAGTTGAAGTCTAATATTTATCATTATAACCATAGGCCGTTTTCGGTAATACTTTGAATAGATTATAGTTTGTAAAATTTTATAATCCTAGTAGTCCTGTTAGCCTTAAGGATAAATAACGCAAACTTTTTACACAAATCAACAATATTTCTCATAGATTTATGTTCAAATAGGTTACCCTAATAATGTCTGCTAGGTAAAGGTGGGGGAAATTTTGCACAGTTTTGTCACAATGTTAAAAATGTCTGCAAAATTTTGTATAGACGTACATAGAAAACGATACAAAAGTACCAAATTAAACTTAACGATTTCTTTATATTTTAGGGATTTATTATTCATGCCCTTTCTAATCAAAATCAGTCAAAAATTATATATCAATCCATGCATCAATTTTTTTGTTTAAGTTATGTATCCTTAAATCGTAAATTGTTATAGTCCTTTATTATAATCTTAGACAGCTATTCGTACTGATCTAATATTCAGTTTACCTTATCCGAGGACTCAAGATAAATCAATTGACAAAGTTTGATGATTCTAAGCCAATTAGTACCTGAAATATTTAAATATAGCCATACAATGTGGAAACATCCTCTTGTAGTGTAAATTCATTTTTATTCAAATCACAGTCGGGGGGGGGGGGGGGGGGGGAGGGGGGGACGGAGATCAATTGTAATTTATGAAATATGGCTATATTCAGATATTTTTAGGTACTAATTGGCTTAGAATCATTAAACTTTGTCATTTGATGCATCTCTAAACCTCGGAGTACATCTACTGACAAGAGGCCCACGGGCCTTACAGGTCACCTGAGTATCATGTATCAACTTTGCCATGAGCCCTGCCCTAACACCATAACCTTGACCCAGGGGACATAAAATTCACAATTTTGGAAGAGGCACCCTTACATATCATAACTATACTCTTAATTCATCAGCTTAATACCCAGGAGAAGATTTTCAAAGAATTATTGCATTTTTTAAAATGTAATCATTAGATCCCCGCCCTAACACCAGAACCCCTGACCCAGGGGCCATGAAATTCACAATTTTGGAAGAGGCATCCTTTATCATCATAACTGTGCATTCAGTTTGTTTGCTTAATACCCAGGAGCTAAGAAGATGATTTTTAAAGAAATAATGCATTTTTACTATATATTCAACAGAGCCCTGCCCTAACACCAGAACCCCTGATCCTGGGGCCATGAATTCAACAAAATTTGGAAGAGGCACCCTTACTCATCATTATTATACTCATAGTTCATCGGCTTAATACACAGAAGATTGATTGATTGTATATTGTTTTACGTCCCATTCGAGAATTTATCACTCATATAGAGACGTCACCATATACCGGTGAAGGGCTTCAAATTTTGACCTTTACTCGGCACTCAGGGCCATTGAGCAGTGAGGGATCTTTATCGTGCCAACGCCTGCCGTGACACGGGGCCTCGGTTTTTAAGGTCTCATCCGAAGGACCCGCAACTTTCACTTCAAAGTGCCGAGCGCATGGCGAAGGAACAGTTGCTACCTATTTTTTATCGACTTAGGTCTGTCGCGGCCGAGATTCGAACTCACGACCTCCCGATCACGGAGCGAGCGCTCTACCGACTGAGCTACCGTGAACGGTGGGAATAAAGAAGAAGATTTTTTAAAGATTGCATTAATTTTGATAGTTTTAGCCCCACCCCTTAGGCCCCAGGGGGGTAGGGGTCATGAATTTCACAATTTTTACTCCCCTGCACCCGTAGATGCTATATGCCAAATTTTGAAATTGGTTCAGTGGTTCCAGAGAAGAAGCTGAAAATGTTCAAATGTTAACGCACGACGGACGACGCACGCCGACGGACGAAAACAGATAGCAATAGGTCACCTGAGTAAACTCAGGTGACCTAAATAAAGGTCACCATGACTTACTTTTAAATTTTTATGGATGTATATGATTATAACCTTAGCCCGTTGTTATAGTCTTTGATTATAATATTTGTCCGTTATCGGTAATACATGGCGGATCTAGAGGGGGGGGGGGGGTCGGGGGTCCGGACCCCCCCCCCTTCTGGAATTTGCAGAGTTATAAAAAGTATATATTGAAACAAATAAAAAATGTTTTTAGACTCCCCCTAGAAAACGTGGATGGACCCCACCATCACCACCACGAAAACACGAAATGAGTTTTTTCACCTATGGGTAATGTTATCGGTAATACATATTTGATCATAATCTTATTTTGTTATCAGCAATTACGGGGGTAGACTATAGCTATGATTATTAGGGCTTTTCGACTTTTGGCGAAAAGCCCTATTGTTTTCGTCTTGTTTTATTAGGGCTTTTCGCTTTCAGGCGAAAAGCCCTATTGTTTTCGTCTTTTTTATTATTATTAGGGCTTTTCGACTTTTGGCGAAAAGCCCTATTGTTTTCGTCTTGTTTTTTTATTATTATTATTATTATTATTATTATTATACCTAACACTTTTACGTTTCGGATTTAAAGAAAACTTTTGGTTATATGTATATTATAATAAAACCGTTAGACAGCTTATCTGAATCTCTCCCGTATGTAAGGTTTTGTACTTCCGGAAAATTCACTTCCGGTATTTACAAGTAGAAAACTCAGATTTCTTTAGGAGCTTAAACAATTCTTATTTTATATGGAAATTCATTCAAATTTTAGGAATAGATTCTTCAAAGGAAATCCTACAAAAAAGTTAGCGACAGCGTTGTTGTACCTATGATACATTTTTGTGTTGTAAGACTCCAAAGTTAAGAAAAAGGGGGGATGGAAATTTTAAAATTTCAAAACCATATAGGAAAAATATTTTGAAGACTACATATTGTTAAAAGTGATTAATAGAACATGTACTATAAGTTTCAAGTCAATCCAAGCAGAACTTTCGGTTTTATGAGTCCCCAAATATTGTCTATGAGAGTTTCTATGTTAAATTGAAATCACGCATGTTCCATTATTTCAGAAAGGAAGCAAGCAATTCTTGTCATATTTAAGTGGAGTACTTACTTTTACACTGTCTTCAGGTGATTAGGTGATGAAAGCAAAATTCCACAAAATAAGGGATTTTTAGGGGCCAGTACAACAAAACAGCTTTTCTCTGTAACTTTTTTATTTCTCAACAGATCTGTAAACAGTTTCCGGATTTGAGTTAAGCACGAAGAGTACATTTTAAAAATTATGGTCCGTGGGGTCACTTTTTGACCCCTTATAGGAGTTTCAGAGGCCTGAAAAACAGTACTTTTCCAGTTCTCTTGATTTCATCGCGTAATTAGAGTTATCGTTCTTTGCACGGTTGGCGAGCGTAGAAAGCGAAAGTAAGGTTTGGTCCTGTTGGCTGCGTAGCTATACTTTTTCAACAAGCGCTCTGCTAGACTCGCCATGTATCCCAGAATGGTTCCTTTCATTTTGCTACATCGAATATCACATCAAACATAAGAGATCTTAGTGTTTTAAGATATTTGACCGGGACTTTAGTACGAAACTAAATACGCTGCCACCTAAAATGCGTAGAACAAAAATACTGGGGTGGATCCTGAAGTGTTTCGTAGACGGACTTTCATAGATTAAATCATGTAAAGTTAGAAGGTACAGGGAAAAAAAAAACATGAATCTCATTTCAGGATCACAAAAAGCATATTTTACAAGATGAATTAATTCTAAATAAAATTAAAATAAATTTGAGGTTTGAAAAAGAAGATAAATATCTGAAAGGAAATTAACTAATCATATCAGAAGAAACAAATGACATCAAAGATATTTGAAGAAGTTCTAGATAAAATGTATATCTTGTTTCTCCGATCACCAGAAAAGAAATTTTAGGCACTTCTGAATTTCTTGTTCTTGCCGATAAAGTTTATATCTTCTAGGTAAATGAGACAATGTCTTTCAAACTTTCCAGAAAGTTTTAATGGGGTGTTTTGTAAAGTATTCTGA